GGGTTAGGAGGTTGTGTGTACGCAGTGTCTGGGTGATTCAGATAAAAGTTACCGCCATCGAGGTGACCAAGTCTAACCAAACAGCTAGAAGGCAGAACACACAGTGGCTGATATGGGCTGAACAAATACACAGCAACACACACACCTCTCACTCAGTCACTCCCTAGTGTATTGTCTGTTTTCGGACTGTGGAGGAGGATGTGATGGAGGAGAGGAGAGGAGCAGACAAAATGTTGTAAAAAGTTAGTTTAGTATTCTTTTGACAATGTCATTTAATACAGTAAATGTCTGCCGTTTTTTTATCCTAAGTAATGTCATAAAATAAAGTTTTGGTTGTCAGATTTGATGTATTTGTTTATTCTTTCTATACCTTCTCTTCCAGTCTCAGTTAAAAAGGTTAGTGAGTAATATTTGTTTTTATTAGAGTGAACTTTTAATCAGTTTACTCTATTATGTGTTTCTAATGTAGTAACTAAAATTGTTTCCTAGTTCACCAGAGCAATTCAAGATTATTGCATACAGTACTGACTGTTGCACACTGATTAGTGCATTTACATGCTGATCTATAGTGCATGGTCTAAAAGTGCATGGCGCAAGTGCATTTAGGGTGTGTCCATCTCCACTTTGATAGTTAAAATGGTGCATAATCTGGGCGTCTGTATTGTTGGCTTATAAATACAGTAGAGTGTACAATAACGAGGACAAAGTGAAACAAATTTTAAAAAAATATACAAGCACACACACACAGACAAAAAAGCTGCTTTGGACTGACCCATGGGCTCCAGAACAAACTGATCCTGAGTGACGGCCAGAGGAGGCTGAATGCTGACGGTCAGCTTAGAGGACTGCACAACACAACAGGCCTTCACCTTCACCTGGAGAGAGAGAGAAACACAGATTATAGGAGTGAGACGTGGATGGGGAGGGAAATACAGGTTAAGATGTGTGAGAGAGAAAATTTAGAGAAAAAGAAAAAAAATTGGCCATGATGAGACAAGGGGAAGAGAAAAGAACATGACTGATCAATGTGCGGGCCAGCTCACTTGAATGGTTACTGAAGAGACGGGCAGACCATCAATATCTTGGATTAGAGCTTGCTGTAAACAGAGAGAAAGAGAATGACAAGTCCATCAGTGTGTGTGCTTATGGTTGTAATGTGTGCACGTGTCTCTGTGAGTCTTGTATGTGTGTTTACCGATTGGCTGTCCATGCTGGAGGACACAGCAGCTGTAATAATCAGGTCTCCTCACTGTCCGTTTAGGCAGGATGTCTAAAATGACAACAGAGGACATCGTCAAATGTTATCTTGTGTACAGGGTCACGGGGGGCTGGAGCCACAACAGACAAGTTTTATCCGAAAACATTAAACCAATGTTGTTCCTCAGTAGGGATTTCACAAATACACGTCATTAGATTCTCAAAATGAGGAATATTTTGTAAACAAACACCGTAAGATAGCTTGAAACTTGTTATGTCTGCAAACATCAGTTTTTTTGCTCCAGGGTGCGACCTCTGACTATACAGCAATTTTCAGTCACTTTGGATAAGCGTCAGCTAAATGAGTAAAGTAGGCAAGCAACTATATGACATCAGTTTGGCCATTTGTCCGTATTCTGGATAATTAATTCACAAAAAAAATAATTAGTAAACAACAAATGATTTAAAACTTGTAAAATGTAAATCTTGTGGCCACCAGTCTGTTTTAGCTAATACTTTCAACCAGTTAAGATTAATTGGCATCCCGCATTATATCCAACTAGGGTTGTATCTGAAGACTACCTTGGAGCATCTTCATCTTTCAGGAGTTTCAATTCATGGTCTTTGCAGTTCTAGTGACTTTTATTAGACTCTAGTGCTCTGATGTAATTGTTTAATCTAACCGTCACATAATCTGTATTAAACTACGAGCACTCTCCTACCCTGAGCTGGTGGCTCTCTGATGAACTTCTGTAACTCTTCATCTCAGCATCCACTGCTCATAGTCAGCCTCGGGCATCCACCTTGGGCGTGGAGAAGAAGGAGGGGTCCGTACCCATGTAGGAGCACAGGAGGTTACCGTCAGAACTCAGATGACCACGACTCCTTTAACTCCCTGAAGAGAGGAGAGGAGTTAACTTGACAGAATATAAAACTGGTTATTTTACCTAGTGTGCCCTTTGCCATCTGTTAGGAACCTGGGTCTAAATACCTTCTGTAGTTCAGCTTTAGAAGTTTGTTGCTCTACAGTTCATTTAATGCTTTGATGAAAACAGAAGGAGATAGAAAGAGGGAGAGTATGAGGATATGCTGAGTGATGGAATAATGGATTTTAATCTCCCTCCCTCTGTGTGGTGTGTGTGTGTGTGTGTGTGTGTGTTTTAACTGGTTGCAGATGTGTTGTAGTTCCAGTCCACTGAGGCAATAGCGCACACGCACACCCACACGCACACCCACACACGCCAGGGGTTCAGGTCTAGTGCAGCGGCTGGCTCCACACCTGCACGGAGGGTGTCTGAGGGAGAATAAAACTTTCACTTAA